TATTTCTAAGTGCCATAGGTTTTTACAAGGAAAAGCTGCCTTTGTATATATATACTAATGCACAACCTAATCTTAAAAGCAAGTTCAGATTCTCTAATGTAAAACATCTTTTTTTTTTTATATAAAATACAAGCTGACTTTCGAAATCTTGAACTTGAAATCATGCACAAAATAGGTACTGCAACTATTGCTTTTAGACTGCCTTACACTGTCAATTCCCTATATTAATATATGAATTATCAAGTAATTTGTGGTAAATCATGTTGCATTTCAATTTAACTAATATTCCTTTCTACAATCTTGGAACTGCTTAAAAGAACAAATGGAAGGAAGGAAAAGCAAGGAAGAGAATAGTGAAATGAAAATAATAGAATGAGAATTTTGCTGCATGTCAGTTAACTTCTGTATCTGCATGAACAAAAAACACTACTTTCATAACTAATGTTACTCTATGTATATTCAAGTGACCATCACTTTGGGAGATGAAAAACTATAACAAGTCACTGAGGGATCCTTTTTATCATGTATAAATATATGTATGTATGTGTGCATATCTACCTTACCTTTATTTGTATATATTTCTACCTATGTATATTTAATTCTATCTAAATTTATATCTCTATCTACCTTTATATTTAAATCTAAATCTACCTATATATATATATATATATACATATACATATATATATATATATATATATATATATATATATATATATATATATATATATATATATATATATATATATATACACACATACATACATATATATACAAATATGTAGGTATGTGACTGGGAATGTGTGTGTGTCTGTGTGCATGTGCATCTAAGTCTGTATTTATATAGCACTAAATATGTAAATGACAAGATTACAATAAGCTACAGAAGCATTCTGGCCAGACAGGAGAGCCCATAATGGGCAGGTAAAGGAACTTCAAAGGAAAAGAATAATAAAGTGGAAATCATCCAGGGGAGAAGATAAACAAGGAAGAAATGAGTGACAGTTTCAACACATAATTAAGTAAAGGAGTGTGGTTAAATGCAAAAGGCAACACTATTTTAACATGTAAAAATATCAGTCTAGCTTTAAAGTTTGAATTTAATTAAAATTCTCTAGACGCCCCATAAGATATTACAGCAGAAAATGAATCTTTACAATAACTCTGATTAATAAACGTTTTGATGTTAAATACTTGGATTTCGACACTGAGTGAAATGACAGGTATATCTGACCACTTGTGTGGCAAACCTTTGACAGATCCATGAGAATGCCACAATGCCTTACAAATAAAGCCTACCTTTTCTTTGAATCTTTTGATGTCTTGTTTTCCTGGGGCTGACGAGACGGTCTGGGGGAGGGAGTACCGGGAAATAGTTATATCACCGGTACAACTCTTAATTCTACCAATCAGGATAGCAACACCGTCAAGTGGCCAGTTTTTCAAATTTTGCCTTTTTTTTTTGGGGGTGGGTACTTACAATATATAATTACTTATACATGTCTTTTCTTTTAATTTTTTGTAGATATCTATGTCATACTATATGCAGCAGCTTTCTTAAAGAAAGTGGCTTTTCCCCAAACATAGACAACGGGTTTCTGACATATGAACAACTTCTAGAAGTCATACCTTTGGAGATACAGTTGTTATATTTGTACACCATGATGAAAACAAACAAACCAAAGAACTTTCATGTGAAGCCACAATTTACCAACATGAAATATTTAAAAGCAGCTTTCTTAAAGTCTTATTTTTAAAATTTTATTATTATTTTTTAAAATCAATATTTGTAATAAAAAGTAATTTGGTTTCTTACTATTAGTTTCATCCCAATACTGAGAGAGTATTTTTTTTTTTTCCAAACTTTGTCCCTTGCACAAGCTCTTTCTTCTACATTTGTTTACATCTGTTTTACTTTGAACAAAAAATTAGTGTACCACACAAACATTACACCATCTATAGCATTCCATTTAGTGTCCCACAATAATAAAGCATCTAAATTACAATAAATTCCCTTCCAAAACCAACTAAAACAGGTCTTCCCTCAAAATCAGGTGTGGAAATTGATAATTAGGCTGTATATTTGTTTAAATTCTTATGAATGTTTCTCTCTCTCTCTCTCCTAAAAAAAAAAAAAAAAAAAAAAAAAAAAAAAAAAAAAAAAAAAAAAAAAAAAAATACACACACACACACACATATATATACATAATATCTCATACACACACACACACACACACACACAAATTTACTCATGTGCATTTTGATGTACAGAACCCTACGGCCAACAGAGCCGACAATGGCACGAGCACCGACTACACACTTACCTAACCCGCTTTGGCTTGGCCTCCTTGGGTTCCTTGGGCTTGGCGGATTCCTTCTTGCTCTTGGTCTCCTTCTTGGGCTTGGGCTCCTTAGGAGTCTTCGGGGTCTTGGGCGCCTTGGGTTTGGAGGCTTTTTTGCTCTTGCCTTTGCTGCCATCGTCAGGAGGAGGCTGCTGCTGCTGGCGGGAGGAAATGACGAAGCAATCATTAACTGTGCCATCCACTGCGTTTACTAAATCAAAAAATAATGAACTGAAGCTAATAATAAAAAAAAAACTTTTCTTGCCTATTGCGTTAAAAAAAAACTTATTAATAAAAGTGCAATGCTGAAATAAGATTCTTAATGACCAATATTATTTAATGTACACAATGATCGATCAAATACATGGGACCTGCTGCTCAAAAATAAACAAATCTATCATTCAAACAAGCCACAAGTTTTTAATTTTTACAGCGTAGATGCAGTAATTAATCATATTTAAATTAAAAAATAAGGAAATAAGGGAAAAAAGGCAACTGTTGAGTAATGAATAATATTGTAGAGTAAAGCTTAGTCCTGTTATAAATTATTCCGTTTTCCCCTTATACTGCGTTTAAAAATCATTGCCATAACCTAAGACAGTACATTTTTTTTTATCATCATCATAATTTTTTCAGCAATATCTGAAAGCCCTTTTCTACACTCAGTTCATTCAACCACCGTAGTGACGAGGAAATCTTCCAATGTCACACGGGAGCCATCCCAGCAACATTGAATTTACTCCGAACCGCCTTGATGGCAACACTAACACCACACGCGCAAGATCTCGTTGCCAAGTCTCGTGGTCTTCCCCAAATCGGCTCGGCATCGGCTAATGGCCTTCGAATGCACGACATCAGTAACTACCTGCCTGGAGAATATAGTCAACGATGCAAACTAGTACATGCAGATGATAAATTGAGAGGCCGATAAATAATGCACTAGTGAACTTGCGGCAACACAACGGGGTGAGCGACCAGCGACGCTCCATGCGTTCGCGCCGGCGAGAGATCGCCAATTTCACTTCAGAACCCCGTCATATTCTCAATGTGTGACTCTCAATACTTTGAAACGTGAACATGCATCGGCGGAAGATCCACGTCATACACAAGTACTGCCTCGCAAAGCAAGTGTGTATGGGAAGAATCTGGGTTTGAGGGCCTCGAGACCAAGAGTTTTTTAGGCCGCAGTCGGAAGGGGCCAGGTGGCGGCGTAAGGCCCACGATGCCACGCAAGTAAATTTACTCGATGAGTTTCCTTGCATCGTCAGCGGGCGCCGTCGTCCCTCCCACAGAAGTCTGGTTCAAAATAAAACCTCCTCCCTGACCTCCCTCAAAGTATTGCTTTCTGCATGCTTGCGTATGTGCGTGCAGGTATGCTTCTGCTCGTTTATCAACAGCTGGACACTAAGTTCCTGTCATGCATACTTCTAGTTGTGTTAAAAAATAATTTTATGTACTGACAGACAAATATTACTTGAAAACCTTTTTTTCTCAGACCTTGCGTACCACGGATTAGTAACAGTTGCCAAGTAAAAACTGACATACACGGTTATAAGATGCTGATTTGTTGGAGAGTATAAGAAAGAGGAATGGGCAGGAAGAGGAGGGAAGAGGAAAACGAAACGGAGGCGACGAATTCCAAGCATAACGCATTTGTGACTAAAACCTTTGGTGAGATTGTGTGGGTGGTAATGGTTAGCGCTGGGTGTTTCATGGTGGGCATCACAGGAGACGGTCAGTGGTTGATGGTTGTAGTGAAGCTGTTATAGAGTCGTGCGCAAGTGGGCGTGTGTTCCTGGATTTCTGTTGTGGTATTTGCCTGGGTGACGATGCGGATACAGAAATAGGGGGGGGGGGGGGCACAAGAAGACAGTGGGCTGAACCAGTTGCTATGAAGGTGGGTGACACGGGCACGCAAGTGTGACAGATATGGATTGGGGAAGGAATGAGGCACGACGAAATCGACAGGAGATTCGCTAGGACCCCGCGGCTGGGAAAAGAACGATGACAAAAGGTACCGAAGTGTGAAGGAAGAGAAGGATGATGGCAAGGGGGGGGGGGGATAGGGGTTGGGGTGTGGATAATATGAGTCAAGGTATTGATCTGAATTAAAATTTTTATTGATGCACCCTACAGCGAGGCCCCACAGCCCTGGCGGATCGGGATCACGCCCTGGTAATGGTACCCCGCTTGTTTATTCCCCTCAACCCATGACCCTCGAACCACCACCCCTTCCAACTGTCCCGCCGCCACAACCCTTCCGTAAAACCGACTTTTTATGCCCGCCTTTCTGCTCTCTGTCTTTCTCCCCCCCCCCCTCCCCCTCTCTCTCTCTCTCTCTCTCTCTCTCTCTCTCTCTCTCTCTCTCTCTCTCTCTGATGCCAAACTTTACTCACTTGGCAAGCTTCCGCCACTACTGTTTCCTTTGCTGCCAACGTTTACCCTTTTGGCAAGCTGCTTCCACCTCGGCCTCTTTTGTTGGCAAGTTTCATCAACCAGAGCTGTCTAGTATCAGCAATCCCATTCACTACAATCTTTAAGTGGTAAGCTTCACCCTAGAATCTTTGCGATAAGCTTTAATAATCTTTGTGCTATACTGGCAAACACTACAAAGCAATTCACGGTCTGAATGCCAATTTCCTCCTCCTATGTAGAGGC